CAAACTCTTTGACAGTTTTCAAAGTGATCGCATATAAGTCATTTCATTTGATTCTAAGGAGCAACCAGTAAGTTAGGACAGAAAAGGCTCTGCCCATTTTCTAATTCCCATATTCAGAACAAACACTTTCATTCTTACCATGTGTAGGTGCTATTTGTTTCACAGCTTTAGCTAGAGCCAAATATCAAATATGGTGGTCAGGGATAGAGGTAGTTATACCTTGCTGGTTGAAGGGAAATATCACATCTAATTAAACATATAGTGTTAGAAGTGTGGACAGTGGTTACTTTCAAAGAACAGGTGAGAGTGTGATTGCAAACAGGAAGGAATACTGAATGTTGGCAATGATTTATTTCTAGAAAAATTTGATTTCTATAGAAATTTCTGGCAAATTTATGGCAGCGTATTATGCTACTTCAAGCATAATTTCCCAAGCATCTTAACACTTAATTTTCTTTTGTGTTTTTCATTTATAAAGATAGATATTTGTGAGAGAAACAATTCATGTTTCCCAATGTAAATTTCTCTTATTAGCTAAGAAATTATAATATTTTCATATAATTTCTTTAAATTTAACAGATTATATCTAATTACTCCAATTTTTTCCCCAAAGTAAAATTTATAAATCCAATTACAAACTTACAACATAATTTATTAATTTACTTTTTTTTTTTTTTGAGTCGGAGTCTCACTCTGTCGCCCAGACTGGAGTGCAGTGGCCGCTCCTGGCCACCGCAGTCTCCACCTGCTGGGCTCCGGCGATCCTTCCGCCTCAACCTTCCAAGTAGCTGGAACTACAGGCACACACTACCATGGCCAGCTAGTTTTTGATTTATTGTAGAGATGAGGTCTCACCAAGTTGCCTAGGCGGGTCTCAATCCCACGGGCTCAGGCAATCCACTCACCTCAGCCTCCCAAGGCGCGGGATTACAGGCCTAATTTACTTTTTAAATGTGTTTTTTCCAAGTAACTTTTTAATTTACCTGTTGTTATTCAGAAAGTGCTCCTTATTAGAATATCCTGTCCACCAATTCCATCTCAATATCTATGAAAAGTAGTGATCAAAATGTTTGTCTTGAAAAGCTTACACACACACACACACACACACACACACACACACACATACAGCCTTTTCTCTTCTTGGTGCCCTCCGAGGAGCTTTGAACTCGCCATTTGTTCTTCTCATGTCTACCTGACTGATCTCCATGCCCACGTATGTCATTTGACCATGATATTGTCCTGATACTTCCACTGTCAGTTTGACAACAGCAGCCAGACCATAACTTTCTGCATGTTGACAATGGATACATCCATACCAATAACCAAGCTGATCACACCACCACTTCTTTCTGGTTAGTGGAAGTGTGTCTGCCAGGAAGTGACGGTCCAAAGACAGCTCACATGGAGCTACATTTGTTAAGCAGCTGTGTAAAACTAAGTTTTTGGCAACACTACATTCAGGGACTATGGTCCACCTGTATCCTAAGCAGCAAAGACCTGACTTCGATCCTCCTCAGTTGCATTTTGGATTGTCTAGGCAACAGTGGCAAATGCTACAGGAGTCAGCACTAACAACAGTATTTGGTTAGAGCTCAGACACATTTAATAAATGCTCTTTTCTTTAATCTAATAAAGACTCTTGCCACAGGAAAGCAGGATGGTTTCAGGCAGTTGTATTCAAGAATCATAATATAAAAAGGTTCAGTTTCAGAACGTTTCAATGACAAAGGAGATTCTCTTTTATTATTGAGGTAAAGATGATAATATCTCTATGGTTCCATGCTTTTTGGAACAGTTTTAAACATTATTTTACATTTTTTAAACTGTTTCAAAAAATTTGCTCCTGTCTTTTTCTCAACCATGAAAATAGCCAAACATTCAGATTAAATAACTGATTAAAGTCAAATCATTGTCACTTTTGTCTTATCCATTGATTTCAATCTTATCACTGTACTCAACACTGTCATTTTTTTCATTTTCTTTTCATTTAATGACAAGTCCATTTATTTATCTATTCATTTATTTGGAGATGAGTTTCACTCTGTTGCCTGGGCTGCAGTGCAGTGCAATAATCATAGTTCACTGCAGTCTCAAACTCCTGGGTTCAAACAATTCTAAGTGTTGGGAGCAGGCAAGAGCCATCACACCTGGTTTAAAAATCAATTTAAAAAAATTAATGGCACAATTATTGCCATACAAAGATGTTGCTGTTGCTAAAACTAACCTACTTGCTTTTTGCCTCTGAGAGGACCACTCTGTGATGGCAAAAGATGTCTAGCCATCAGTGAAGCCTATAGCCCTCTGTGTGTACCCAAGTGTAGTGTTTTTTTTTTTAAGTTAGGGATAATATACCTTCATAGTTTAGGGGTATAAAAGCAGGGTATAAAAACAAAACTCACACTAGGCTTGGTGGCTCATGCCTGTAATCCCAGCACTTTGAGAGGTAGAAGTGAGAGGATTGCTTGAGCTCAGGGGTTTGAAACCAGCCTGGGCTACTTGGCGAGACCTTGTCTCCACAAATAAAAAAATGAGCTGGGCATGGTGCCATGCACCTGTAATTCCAGTTACTTGGAAGGCTGAGGGATCACCTAAGCCTAGCAGGTGGAGGCATGGTAGCCATGAGCATGCCACTACATCCCAGCATGGGCAACACATTGAGACTCTGACTAAAAAAAAAAAAAAAAAAAAAAAAAAGACTCTCAAAAGACCCTGGACAATGTTAACTGCGTTTTGGAGAAAATAAATATTAATAAATGTCATGTTTATATTAATCCACACTGTCCCATAGTAACTTTTATTGAAATTTCTAGTAGTAAACTACCTCTTCTTTTAATAATACAAAAATCAATCACTCCACTCAGTGGAAAGCAAACCACTAGATGTTATATAAAAGTATTTTAGGCCGGGCACAGTGACTCACACCTGTAATCCCAACACTCTGGTAGGCTGAGGGTGGGAGGACTGCTTAAGCCCAGGAATTCAAGACCAGCTTGGGTAATATAGTGAGACCTCATCTCTACAAAAAAAAAAATCTAAATGCTGGGCTCGGTGGCTCAGCCTGTAATCCCGCGCTTTGGGAGGCCGAGGTGAGTGGATTGCCTGAGCCCGCGGGTTTGAGACCCGCCTGGGCAAGTTGGAGAGACCTCATCTCTACAACAATTCAAAAAATTAGCCGGGCGTGGTAGTGCATGCCTGTAGTTCCGGCTACTCGGAAGGCTGAGGTGGAAGGATCGCAGGAGCACAGCAGGTAGAGGCTGCGGTGACCGGGAGCGGCCACTGCACTCCAGTCTGGGCGACAGTGAGACTCCAACTCAGAAAAAGAAAAAAAAATTTAAAGATTAGCCAGCTGTGGTGGCATGTGCCTGTAGTCTCAGTTACTCAGGAGTCTGAAGAAGGATCGCTTGAGCCCAGGAGTTGGAGGCTGTGGTGAGCCATGATCATGATATCGTACTCCAGCCTGGGTGACAGAGACCCTGACTTAAAAAAAAAGAGGTATTTTATTTCAGAATTTAATGAGTAAAAATAGGTCTCTGTCAGAATATTTGTAAAGGGTACCTACTCCACTACCAGGGGGAGTGAGGGCCAGTAAGAAGGCCAAACTTCATCTGCATGCAGCCTTCTTATGTGGTTAATCCTCACTTGTATCCCACATCTCCATAATAAAATACAATTTAATAAATTTTAAAAAGTTAATATGGAGCTTAAAAAATAAAGAATACTTGTCTTCATATCACATTATTGATTTATTTTTGCTTTCTAAGTTGGAGTCTCACTCCCTCACCCAGTCTAGAGTGCAGTAGCATGCTCACAGCCACTCCAGTGCTGACCTGCTATGCTCTGGAGATCCTTCCACCTCAGCCTTCCAAGTAGCCAGAACTACAGGTGCACGCTACCACACTCTACGAATTTTTTATTTATTGTAGAGACCAGGTCTCGCCAAGTTGCCCAGGCTAGTCTCAAACCCACAGGCTCAGGCAATCCACTCGCCTCGAACTCCCAAAATGCTGGGATTACAGGCTGAGCCACCAAGCCTGGCCCACATTATTGATTTAAAATTGTATTTGAAACTAAAATCTGAGTATTTTTTTTTGTTTCATTTTTGAGTATAAGAGCTTTCTTGGGATAGAACATACTTTGCTAATCTAGTTATAATATCTTATTCAAAATGATACTATAATTCACCAATGCATTAGTATTAGTATGAAATGCTGTCTTTGAGCAAATATTTTATCCACAAATTCATTGTAATAAACTATAAAAGGCATATGTATTATTCTTCTGCCACCTTATATTAGTAAAAGTATGCATTAGAATTTTTTATACTAGAATTGCAAATATGTTTTAAAATTATGAAATAAAAGTATAAATGTGCATTCTTAAAGCAATCTGACATGGTAAAAATAATAAAGGTTACCGTATTATTAAAACTTAGAAATAATTTTATTTAAAAATCAAAGAACTCCTATATTTCAGGCAAGCACATATTTACCTAAGGATGGTTTTTATTTTTGAGTCAGGGTTTCACTCTGTCATCCAGGTTGGAGTATGGTGGCATAATCACAGCTCACTGAAGCCTCGACCTCCTGGGCTCAGGCAGTCCTTCCACCTCAACCTCCTTAGTAGCTTAGACAACAGGTGCACACCATCACGCTTAGCTAATGTTTTTGATTTTTTGTAGAAACAGGGTCTTGCTATGTTTCCTAGGCTAGTCTCGAACTTCTGGGCTCAAGCAATCCTCCTGCCTTAGCCTCCCAAAGTACTGGGATTACAGGCATGAGCCACTGTGCCCAGTCTTAAGGATATATTTTAATGTTAGGTTTCCTTTGCTGTTTTGATGTTTCCTTTATTCAAATAACTGACTCTCGTAAGAATCTGAACTTTTAGAAAGGCATGACACCTTTTAGGGGTCATCCTTTTAGTGTATTATTGCTGGTTCCTGTGATTAAAAAACAAAGCAAAACAACATAACAGAAGGAAAGGACAAATTCAGTATACAAAAGTGGCACCATATGCTCAAGTTTATTATACAGTCACAAGTTACATTTTGGAAAACAAGTAGAACACTGTACCAGTTTCCACTAACTCAAATCAAGTTAGCAAATGACAAATTTTAGAACAGATTCATTTCATGTCTCACCCAATGTGGGTGATCACAAAGATATTTACTTTCAATGTTATTAGGTAACAAATTAATTTGATATACAACATAGCTTCCAAGTTACCTTAAGATATTTCAAAGTGTTTCAAAATTGGTAGGGAATAGTTCATTTCCAGCCTGAAATAAAATACAGAATGGACCATCTGGGGGCAAATAACTTCATTTCTATATCCATAGCAGAATCACTCTTTTCTGCTAACAAAAAGAATAATAAACCTCTATTTAGAATAGGTTCACTAAATTAATGAAGACCTTGATATTATCTAGGTTTGGTTACATTGTTATATTGCACTTGAGAACAATAACAACAAAGATCAAAGACTCAGTACCTCTCCCAAGAAGTTCATTATATATAAGAAATTACAGTGAAATACAAGCATATGTTGTGTGCTGCATATTCACAGATTTATTGTTCAAGCTAGTCAACTGGCAAGTTAAAGGACATACTCTTGAAAACACTGAATATTAAGTAATTTAATTCACCTTTTTCGATCCTACAATTAATTTTCAAACACTCTTTTTATTATTATTATTTATCAAACTACTACAAATACAAGCTATCCAAGACTCCAAAGAAGGTGACACTGAGATGGGCAGTGGTTATATATAGGTATTCCAAGAACATCTCCTTGTTTTCTGCCAGGCTCATCATTATGGTCTACAACAGAGGAACACGTACCAACTTACAAATTCTGTTTGCCTTACAAAAGTCAGCTGATCTACTATATTCTATATTTTGCCACACAAATCTCTCCCTTAGGGTCATGATTCACTGTTAAAAATCCTTCATAGCTCTCTTAAGCCAGGAAGTCTGTTTTCCTAAAACTAGAATTGTCTCTTTATGTAAATATACATGTTAAGAGTTAATGAGAATTAACTATGAATTAACTATGAATAGGTAGTTTAGTAACACAGGTAGGATGGTGGCAATGATATTCTGACTTTTATACCTTTCAGAATCATTAAGAACTTAATCAGAATTATAATCATAGTTAATTATGAAGAAAGTGAAAGGGAAGAAATGGAAAAAAATGATCCTTGCACAAATGTTTCTCAAAATATTAATTTTCTAATAAATACCTGTATAACAATTCAATATCAGTATCAATACTTTTTACCAATGTCAAATGTTTTTAATATCCTCTAGCTTATTCATATGATTTTTTAAAACTGAATTATATAATAAGAATTTTACACTTTAAAATGGATTTTAATTCTTAATAAATCACAAATACAATAGTATTTAAAATGATTGGAAAATAAAATAGTTTTCATAGGTCTATTTTTTGATATTTAATCAAGTACACCCACATGCTACTTTAGGGTAAAAAGAATCTCAAATGTTCCTCAAAAAGGCTTTCAAATGATACTTCTATTTTTATAGAGATATAAACTATCATTTTTTGAAAAAAATCTATAATACTTCTTAAAACCACACTTCATAAAGGAAATTTAAAACATCATGTTAATTTCCAATTACAGCATCTTTCAATTTCCAATACAAGATTATACTTTGAGATAGAGGCCGTAAAAGGAATAGATGGTGCAAAAGCAAATACACTTTTGTAAAGAGTGAATTTCTAGCCAGCATTATTTTCAGAAATAACTGCATCTAGGTGGAAAAACAGATAAGGCAAAATTTGTTACAGACTTAGTGACTGTTTGATGGCTGCCAATACTTGACCTTAGGATAAAAAAATTTTTTTATTAAAAAAATTTAAATTTATTGATTATAAAAATACTTATTGCATATGATTAAGCTCTTTCAAGCTACTAATAAAATCTATACTCCAAAATACATTAATTTTGAAATTTACTAAAGTTAAATATAGGCTCTAGTCTATGTTCTATCTTGTATAACTCAACTAAATGTGCTTCTATTTTATGAATATATTCTCAAGATTAGCTCAGCCACTTGTGCATGGAATTATAACACAAGACGTGGCAAGACAGATTTTCAATTTTTTTAAAACATAGAAAAATAGTCAATTATCTAAGGGAAACATCATTGCCTATTGAGGACAGCAGTTAAAAAGCTACTAAATTCTCAATCTCTAATGTACAACATGATATAATTGCACAAAAATAGGTTTAACTGATCGTTATCCCCAGGCCTTGAGGAACTGTGAATAGTTCACATATTTCACTAGAAGATTCACCACGCTAGAGGCATGAAAACTAAAACTTGCCACCCATGTGGCTTTTATTAAAAATCCTAGAAAAGTAATTTATGTTAACAAGCCTAAGAAAGTTTTAAAAGGTTTTCAATAACTTGAACTGCTTATAAAAATACCTTCTAGAAGTTATTCTGATAGCTGAGACTGGTTTACACACTACCATGCTTAAAGGGAGGTAATATTCATGTAGTCAGATCATGCTATTGTTAAACCAGTGGAGCTACCTAGTTTTGATTTCAAGCATTCCTCATGGGGTAGGGTGGGGGATCCAGGTTCCTGTAAGTTGTAAAGATTCCTCATTGATCTTGACCCATTCTCAGTAACATTTTGGAAATACAAGGAAACATACACATATGGCAGAAAAATAAATTAATACCAACTAAAAACTCTGTTCTACTCTAAGAATGTATTAATAAACAACTATCTCGAAGAACTACACACATAGTATTTTAACTAAAATGCTTTCTGTTTTTGTGTAGTAAATAGCCAGACTAAAACAATGGAATAAATATACTTTGGAAATGACTTCCAGTTCCATATGGCTTTAAACATCATGATCCTTAAATGAATTAAACTATTACACACCAAGAGGCATTTATGATTATGGAACTAATATTTAGTATAGGCTGGATTAAAGGATTTGACATAAAATTTAGAAACTATACAAGTTAAAATGCAACAAAATAGACTATGGATTAAATATAAATAAAAATGTAATGGCATCTACCCAAATTTTATAATAAAACAAAATATTTTACTTTTGTTATTACAGACAAGAACTTGAGGGTATCATGCATATTTTTAAAAAGGTTCTATCAAATGAGCGATATTAAAATCCAAATTCTTGCAGTTACAAAGTCTTTAGTAGCCTGAAAAGTTGACTATAGTATAGAATGTACTAAGTACCTGTATGAAAGACATGATTGCTAAGGCCTAAACTTGAACTGCTTTAAAACAACAATAAACAGCAAAATTCAACATACTAAATCTAAAACAGTAATTTTAGGAGATACTATTTTATATAAAGCAGGAACTCTGGGCACTACCTATCTTATATGCATTCAGTAAGAGTTATTACTTGATATTTTATTATTTAAATACCAAAATTCGTCAGTGTATGTGTATTAGATATCTGCACTTATTTATAAAGAGAAAGTTGGCAAATATTGTTCTCATTCTGTGACTAATGCCAATGGGCACCATCTGCAGTACAGTCTTGGAATTTTACTCCTCATGAAGGAAATTCAAACCGACAATGGAGTTGGTAATTCCAATGGGTCAGGATGGAGCATAACTGAAAAGTCGTGGTTAAGTTTCCGAGTTTCCTTCACCATTTTCATGAGGTTGAAGCTGTTCTCTTTCTTGTTCTTCTTGAGGTGGCCGAACACGTTTAAAAAAGCCCAGCTGTCAGTTGAAGAAAAACCATGATTATCACCACATCAGTGTAAAACATCCAAAGTATTTTTTGAGTTGATTATATTGCTACCAAAAAAATTTAAATGGTTCTTTGTACAATTCCCCCTCCCTCAAATGATATGTCATGATCATCAGGTGTCATCATAAGTCCCTTTCTTCCTTCCTTCTTTTTCATTCTTCTTTCTTTCCCTCTCTCCCCTTCCCTCCCCTTTTCTTCCGGTTCCCCTCTCTCCCTCTTTCCCTCTCTTTCTCAGTCTATTACTTACCCTGTACATTACAAATACCAAAACAGCCAATAACAACAATCCCGCCAGAACTGCTAAAATGATCACCCACACAGGCACAGGCATGGGTGCCGGCTGAATGCCCCAGGTGACATTAGTGGTAACCTATGAAGGAAAAAAGATTTTTAGTTTTAAAGAGTTCACTGATTTAACCCAAAAATATTTGAGTGACTATTGTATTTTTTTAATGGTATTCACATTGCATTCTTTCCTTGCATATGATAATTCAGTGATCTTATGTTCGATATCAACAGCATATACACACATGTAAAAAAAATCCCAATGACAGGTTATCTTTTGGCTGCATCTGAAATAATTTTTAAATAATCCATCCAGCTTATGATGTACTGACACATTATTAACCTTTAAAGATCTTCAAAATGCCTCATTTGTTGCAATTAATTTCTAATTTCCTAACTGTGAAGAAAAATACCTAAAATTTCATAAATATAATTAATTTAGTATATACTAAGAAATCTTACATAGAACAAGACACCAAAGTAAAAGATCTACCCTTAATAATGCTGGGGTGGAGGAGTAAAGTAATAATATTAAACTATGTCATAATCCTATCAAATAATTCTGTTACTTGAAAGTGTTGACAGTTAAGCTGCCACTTTTTAAAACAAAATAAAAACATCTACAGCATGGGAATTTATTACACTTCCCTAAATCAATGACTTACTAAGGTGGAGTTGACGATATCCTCAATTGGAAGGTTCTTATAAGGAAATTCTATGACATTAAATGAAGCTGATGACTTCAGAGAATAGGAATGATTCTGATTTTCCTTCTGCATGGAAATAACAATGAGATGATTTCCCAGATGTCAGCCCTTTTTGACATCTTCAAAAAACTTGAGTGCGATTGCTAAATACTGCATCCATCTACTTACATTCATAAAGGTCTCAGTCCATAGCAGAGACTTGACATACAGAATCGCACTCTTCCCTCTGTCTAGTCGCCCAACCTGGCAGACAATCTTCAAGCACTGAGCAATTCCACAACCCTGCCAAGACAAATGCTTTACTTACATGGAAAGGTCATTCTATCATCTCTTTGACATTTGAAATAAATGCCAATTTTTTTCCTTTTTTTGTTAACGTGAAGAGCAAAGAGAGATGATCCAGATTCTTTTGTCTTGTAGGAATAATGGTTAAAATAAACAGGCTAACAGTTGAGCCTATTAACATTTTTTGTTAGGAAGGTTAGTTTGAGTGTGATTTGTTATAGAAGGGTAAAATCTATTAACACTGAAATAATTATTTTATGGCTAGAACTCAGTATTCTTTAGGCAAACTCAGAGCATGGTGATATTTGTAAGATATGAAAATTTCCATGTAACAAAAGAGGAAACAGTGAATTCCTAATGGCTTTTCCACATAGGACCTATAGAAATCAAATGGCATGCTGATGGCCTTTGCTATAGTTAGTGTTTTCATCAGTAAATTGAAGGCTGGCAGCCAAAGGAAACAAATGGTCACCACTTCTATGTGCTGGTCACACTGTATTACACATGTCATGTGTGTACCCAACAATGCTGTCCAGTTAGTGGTTCCACCTGCTAACGAACAGAAATAGAAGAGAGCTTCCTAAACCCGGTAAAGGGCATCTATGAAAAGCTCACAGCTAATATCATACTTAATAGTGAAAGATTGGATACTTTCCCACTAAGATCAGTAACAAGACAAGATCATGCCACTTCTACTTAACATTGCACAGAAGGTTCTAGCCAGTGTAATTAAGCTAAATAAATAGAGGGATGGATAGATAGATAGATAGATAGATAACAAAAGGTACCTAGATTGGAAAGGATGAAATAAAGCTATCTCTTCACAGATGACAGGAACTTAAATATAGAAAACACTAAATAATCCATACTAAAATGGTTAGAGCTAATACACAAATACAGAAAAGGTACAGGATACAAGATCAATATACAAGAAGACCTGCATTTCCACACACAAGCAATGAGAAATGCAAAAAGAATATTAAGAAAACAAGTCCATTTAAAACAGCATTGAAAAGAATAAAATATAGCCAGGCTCGGTGGCTCAGCCTGTAATCCCGTGCCTTTGGGAGGCTGAGGTGAGTGGATTGCCTGAGCCCGCGGGTTCGAGACCCGCCTGGGCAACTTGGCGAGACCTCATCTCTACAATAAATCAAAAATTAGCTGGGCATGGTAGCACACGCCTGTAGTTCCAGCTACTTGGAAGGCTCAGGTGGAAGGATCGCCGGAGCCCAGCAGGTCGGGGCTGCGGTGGCCGGGAGCGGCCACTGCACTCCAGTCTGGGCAACAGAATAAGACTCCAACTCAAAAAAAAAAAAAAGAATAAAATACAATGAACAAGTTTAACAAAGGGAGAGCAAGACTAGTACACTGAAAATTACAAAATATTACTGAAAGAAACTAAAGAATACTAGATAAACAGAAAGACATTGCAATGTGCATGGACTGAAAGATGCTACATTGTTAAGACAGCAAAACTCCCTAAATTGACAGACTGACTTAAGAAAATTGGTATCAAAATTCCAACTACCTTTTTTTTTGCAGAAATGGACAAGCTAATCTTAAAACTCATGTGAAATTGCAAGGGACCCCAAATAGTCAAGCAATCTTTAAAAAGAAGAAAATATGTTCACACTTTTCAGTTTCAAAACTTACTGCAGACCTACAATAATCAAAACAATTTGGTTACTGGCAGTAAGGGTGCACATATAGGCAAATGGAACAGAATTGAGTCCAGAAATAAACCCGTATATCTATGGACAATTTGCTTTCAACAAGACTGCCAGGACCATTTAAGAGGAAACATAATAGTCTTTTCATCAAATGATGTTGGAACAAATACATAGCCACATACAAAAGAATCCATCTGAACTCCTTCCTCACACCAAATACAAAAATTAACTCAAAATGAATCACAGATGTAAATACAAGAGCCGTAAATGTAAAACTTATTTAAAAAAACACAAACCTATGTGTCAATCTTCATGACCTTTGCTGTCAGTTTAGGAAGTTTTGTCATATTTTTTTAAAAGTACAAGTAACAAAAGAAGATACAGATAAATTAAATTTAAAATTTATGCAACAAAAGATACTATCAAGCAAGTGAAAAGACAATTCACATAGAATGAGAGAAAATATATGCAATCATATATCTGAGAAAGATAGTATCCAGAATATATAAAGAATTCTATAATTCCACAGTTAAAGGCAAACAACCCAATTTTAAAATGGAAAAGGAATTTGAATAGACATTTCTCCAAAGAAGATCTACAAATGAAAAGATGCTGAACACCATCAGTCAATAGGGAAATGCATAAAAAATCACAATGATAACTCTAGGATGACTAAGAAAATTAACAAACAAAAACAGACAATAACAAGTGTTAGCAAGGTTGTGGAGAAAATGGAATTCTCACACATTGCTAGTAAGGACTGTAAAATAGTGCAGCCACTTTGGAAAACAATTTGGCAGCTCCTCAAATAATTAACACACAGTTTCCATGTGACTCAGCAATTTCACTTCTGGGTTTATTCCCAAGAGAATTAAAAAAAATATGCTTACACAAAAACTTGTGAATGAATGTTCACAGCAGTACTATTCAAAATACATAAAAAGAACAAAAAACCCAAATGCTCATCAACTGATGAATGGATAAACAAAAGGGGTACCCACACAAAGGAATATTAATCAGTCATAAAAAATAAATGAAGCACTAATACTAATACATACAACAACATGGATCAATCTTGAAAAGTAAAAGAAGCCAAGACAAAAAAGGCCACATATTGTATGATGCTATATATGTGACATGTATATGAAATGTCCAGAATAGGCAAATCAGTAGGTAAGTAGATTAGTGGTCATCCGGCATTGGTAACAGAGGGGAATGGGAGAGACTTGGACTAATGGGTACTAGAGCATTTCTTTTTTGGGGTGACAGAAATGCTTGGAATTATATTGGTAATGGTTGTACAATGTTGTGACTATACTAAGAAACACTAGAATATGCACATTAAAATTGTTAAAATGGTGAATTTTATGTTACTTTTTTCTCAGTTGAAAAAAACCACAGTTCTACAGTAGGATAGGGGTGCAAGCAGGATTATAAGTGGGGTGTGGGGTAGAATAGAAGGCAGTTTCACTTCACATGGGTAGGACGAGGAAGTCATGCCATAATTTGACATTCTAGGATATTAGAAGAATATGGGAAAGTAAGTCATAGAGATATCTGAACAAAGAGGAACAAAGAGGATTCCAGGCAGATGGAAAAGCCATTTTTCAAAGCCTGAAGTGAGAAATATACTTGGGGCTATCTGTCCTGTGAAAAGCAAGGTGGTGAATGGCAGGGGCAGAGAAAGAAACGCAGAGAGAGAGGCAAGAAGGGCCCAGACCCTATTTGACTTAAGAGCCACTGTAGGCTCCGGCTTTTTCTCTGAGTTAGATGGGAAGGCACTGGCTGGACATGACCTGACCTATATTTAAAAGGATCTCTGTGGCTCTGTGTGGCAAATAAGCTGTAGTGAGAAGAAAAGTGAAAATTACAGAGACCAACTAGACACTTGGCAATAACCCAAGTGAGAAAGGAAAGTGGCTCTTGGGTTAGGTTGTGGCAGTGATGGAACTGATGAGAAGAAGCCATATTTTGGGTATTTTCAAAGTAGATATTGAACACATTTTATGAAATACAGGATGTGAGGTTTGAAAGAAAGCGGGATCAAGCATCAAGCGTGAGGTTTTAGACAAGAGAATAAGAGTTGATATTCACTAAAATGTGGAACACTGTAGAAGGAGAAGAGCTGGGGAAACGCAAGGGTATACTTTTAGAATTAAATTTGACATTCCCATTAGATATTTAAAAGGAGTTCTAGTAGGCAGTAGGATATTGTGGTGTGGAGTTCAACGCAGAAGATCAGATGGAAAATATAAATCAAAGGCATCAAATGATATTTACAGCCGTGAGAGTCAATAAAATCATCTAGTGTAACACTGTCCAATAAAACTTTCTATTATGATGGAAATCATCAATATAGAGATAGCTATACTGCCTGACAGGGAGCCACTAGCCTCAAGTAGCTACTTGAAATGTGGCTGGTGTCTACAATATTGAACAGCACAGATCTAGTGAGTGAATGTAGGTGGAGCAGAGAAAAAAACCTGAGACCTGGAATACTCTAGAGTTTAGAGGTATGAACGTGGAGATTAAGAAGTAGTTAATAGGGAGGGAGAGGGGTATATGGCAACACACTGGGTACGTGTCCGCTATCAGGGGGAGAGAGGGCCAGCTAGAAGCCCATACTTTACCTGCATGACCCTACTTATATAGTAAACCCCCACAACTCTAAAATTTAAAAAAAAAAGAAAAAGTAGCTAATGGTTGCAGATAGAGAATCAGAACACAAAAATGATTAAGTAAGCCAAAAATCATTGAGCAGCTAAACTGGATGAGTACTAAGAAGAAATACAAAATTTGGTGATATAAAAGTAACTGGTGATCACTATTGAGCAGAAACACTATATAACAGGTTCTCTACTTGCTGATGACTTCTGACCTACTAATTTTCAAAATTTAAATGATAAGCCCCTTCAACACATTATAGTTATTATATAGGTTGACTCAACAGAACAGAATATGAATTGTTTTTCCAATATATTTTTGTTGGGGCCTTTCAGGTTATCCTGCAATATTGCACTAAAGCCTCAAAGATAAGGGGAAGCTAAGAAAAGGTCAGTTAAAGGAGTACAGTCAGAAGATTAATTTGGAACATAAAATATTTTTATTAGCAAGCAACAAAGACAGATCATTTGAAGAAAATCTGGCATTGACTTGACTAGGAAAAAGAAAAGTAAGAGGACTGAATGGTATAAAAATATATTCGGTTTTTCCAAGTACAGCTGTTATTTTTGAAATGTTCTTTGGCATCAGTCCTATAATCATGTCTTTTAAATTTTTATGGTGCATGTACTTGAAATGGCATTTACCAAAGTGTGAATATCTCCTTCACTGAGGACAAGATCCCGCTTAGTGATGAGATGGTTCCGGTCACCTTGCCCAGCAACTGTGTCATTCTTTTCAGTTGTTTGCAAAGATGAAATCTAGGATTAATAAAATTAGTAAAATGGTGGTAAGTAATAATAGAAAACATTTTACACTGACATTTTGACAAAGACCATATAGTACCATAGTTTCTTATGTAAATTTATTGCTAAGATGAAAAACACTATAGCCAAAAGTATATTAAAAAATGACATTTTTCTGGGTCATGTAAATTAAAAGAGTTACACATAAAATGGCATACCTTATCCCAAAGACAGACATTCCAACAACAAAACACCCTTGAGACAATATAATACAATGAATAAACCACTATGAGATGGAGCCAAGGTCAAACTGAGTCACTTAACAGTATCTCCTGAAGGCTCACTATATACTCCATAAAAAGCCAGGTATGGTAGCTCACGTCTGTAATCCCACCACTTTGGAAGGCCAAGGCGGGGGGGGTCACTTTAGCTCAGGAGTTTGAGACCAGCCTGGGTAACGAAGTGAGACCTCATCTGTACAAAAAAATTTAAAAATAAATAAAAATTAGCCGGGCATGGTAGTGCATGCCTATAGTCCCAGCTACTCAGGAGGCTCAAATGTAAGGACCACCTAAGTCTAGGAGGTCAAGGCTGTCGTGAGCCATGATGGTGCCACTGCACTCGAGCCTGGGCAATAGAGCAGAGTGAGAGTCTGACTCGAAAAGAAAAGAAAAGAAAAGAAAAAGAAAAGACTCAAAAAAATGCTCCATAAAGATATGGCTCACTAGGACTTCACATAATTAATTATTGCCCATTATACAAATATCTAATAATTAATATACTAGCTATGAACAAAAATACATTTTGCAGAGCAGGTTTTTGTATTAAAATAGTTGTCTTGTTTCATGCATTTATTTTATAGACTTAAAAGCAAGCAATAAAATACTATCATATTGAAGAGCTACTATTAAGCAAATCACCTTAATCCTCAGAGGGTTGATCTCCATGTCTGAGGTGCAGTTCATTGGTCCATCAATATCATAATGCATGATGTACAACAAAGTGTTATTGTTAAATTTGTAAGGCCACTGGAGATGGAGCATTGCCTTGCTGAATGAACTTGGTCCGTTATTTCTCAGCTAAGGAGAAAAAAGAAAATATATATATACCTTGTGTAAAACTCGATTCTATAATCATTCTCCTACATCAACTTTAGAAATCATATTAGCAACAGGATTTGAACAGCAGCAGAGTTTCCACAATTAGACTCTCATATTACAACATGATCATTTTTATGAGGAGATCAAACTCAACATTTATCTCTAAAGCAGAGCAGTATGCACCAGCAGGGAAAATATAAACAAAAGAGGAACATATTTAAAAGTCCTTATAATGATGAAAGATGACAAAGAAAATTTTCTTCTTAGGGAAACAAAATTTTGGTATTTGCCACAGGCATTTTCAATTTTTAGTCAGAACTACAAAATGCCCATGAGAAAGTACCCAATGACTTATTTCTTTTATTCAAGCACAACTCATTGTTTTTAAAGAACAAATTACATGAATTGCTTTCTTTAAACACTTAAAGCTATTTGTCAAATAAAAATAAACTTAAGAATAGGGAAATCTCTGATATACACTTAACCTATGCAGAGTTTACATAAAAATGACACTGAATATTTTGTTAAAAGTAGTTTAGCTGTTCCTCTCTGTTGGCCCTCTCACTAGGTCTGGATCAACTCCAACAGCTGCCAACCTCATAGATGTGCTGAACAACCGGCCCAACATCTTCTTCAGTCTCTGGGTTCTCCTTGTGCTCCCAATTTGGAATTGGAAGGAAGATATGATCAGGACTTGAGACTCTAAACAACGACCAAAGAAAACCTACTGTGAATATTAAAATGATAGACTCAGTTCACTTCCAAAAGTACCCCATATTCAAATGAACAAAAATTAGATCTAGTAACAAAATTACTTTAAAAGTAAAAACTAGTGAATGCACACATGCACAGAAACTGATGTGGTTAAATTTACATGTAACAGGTGCACTGACAAGTCAGTTTGTGTAAAAGTTTGATAAATTTATTTTGTGCCTGTTGTTGCCATGTCTTATTCGTTTTCAGAGGAAAACCCAGTGTCTGGGGCTTTGGAACATGCCCAGGACCTTATTTCTACAGAAGCTACTGCCCTAGTAAAAATCACCAATAACCGTGTACGTCTACTGACCAGAAGCTAGGGGCTGGTAGTTCCCTTTAAAAAGCAATCATGAGATACTCAACTTAGTAATCATACTGACCCTCTTATTTCAACGGCAGCTAAAACAGCAAGGTCAACTCTGTAAGACACAACTGGGCTTACTTTGTCAAAAAGATTCGAGCTGAAAAAGAAAACATTTAAGGAATGAATGGCCACCATCAACATCATAGAGAGGCAAACCGAGTGAAACTATAAATGAGTAAATTAAAAGCACCAAATAAATAGCTTATCAGTCAAAAATGATTTTCATTAGCATTTACTCTCAAAAAGATAGTCAAGTTTTATTTCCTAATTTTTAATTTTGCTTTACAAATGCAAAACTGACAAAACTATCCTTATGATTTTAAAATGCCATAATAAAGTACTGAAATTTTAGTCTGTGCTATTCTATAATATTGAAAGATATTATATAATACATTTATAGCAAATTAGACCTTCTCAATAGGTTTTATAAGCTAATGTGAGTTGTTTTCATACCTTTGGATCTGTAAGTCAAATTTCACAGAGGTATCCATCTCTGATTGCTGGTGTACACTAAAACGAAGACCAGCTAAGAGCTGAAGGAGAGAGCAAAAGATGGTAATGTTAGTGAACTTTCAAATGCAATGTCCAAATAAAAAAGAATGTCCTAAAATAGGGTTTTCTTGAACTTACAATAAAAGTGAACAAAAGATAATTAAACCTGATTTTCTAATGAATCTCTTTTATTTAAGACATTTGGGCCAATCCATAACAGAGTCTGGTTAACAACAATTATTCATTATAATTAGACCTCCTTATAATATTAACTATCTTTCAAAAAATGCAAAAGTAAATATCTGTTGATTCAATAAAAGTACAGTAACTAGGCACAATGATTTGGTAATAGGAAGTTCACAACTGAACTGTGCTGTGTTGGTGGGCCAGGAAGGAAGAAATGGATGGTTTAAAGAATAAGAGAACTGGTTAAAGAAGTCATCAGTAGGGCCAGAACCAGAATTCCTCCTCACACCTCTCACAGCCCCCCAACGCCAAACATCCTAACTCCTACAGGTAGAAAATTGATAGATTTTAAAGAAAACAATTGATACATAAGGCACAGGCTTCTTGGAGATCATAAAAGTGACACACAAAAATAGTACTTCTTGCAAACCACCTCCTGGTTAGTCGCTGGAATAACCAAGAATCATCTACACTGACTGAGCCATGAGCAAGAAAGAGAGGAACGAGAATAGGAGAGGAAATAAGGCGTGTTCACCTAACTTAGGGTACTCTGTTCAAACTCCCTTCCCTAAGATACCATATGTCTAGAAACAATAATGACTTTTAATGGAAAATACACCTAAAGAAACATTGAACATTTAGCCCCATATTAACACAGATCTTCAAATTGCCAGTATCCATGTGCCATTAAATTAAATAAATTCTATTGAAAAAGTCACATGGCATATACTGCCATTTTTTCCCCTCGATTCTAGGAATTCTACAATGAATATTTTGTTGACTTTTTAAAGGATTTAGAAAGCGAGTCATTGTTTTCCTGGGCTCTCTGCTCCACCATCTGAAGGGGAGCCTGATCCAACTAAACTTCTCTTTGATCCTCTGTGTGGGACCTATAATATAGGGTTTCATGTTAATGAAGTTGGTGGGCTGTGGTGGCTCATGCTTATAATCCCAGCACTTTGGGAGGCTAAGGAAAGAGGATCTCATGTGCACAGGAGTTGGAGAACAACCTGGGCAACACAGTGAGACACCAACTGTACAAAAAATTTAAAACTTAACTGGGTGTGATGGCATATGCCTGTAGTATCAGCTACTTGAGAGGCTGGGGCAGAAGGATTATTTAAGCCCAGGAGGTCAAGGTTATGGTGAGCTATGATCACATCACTGCACACTTAGGTGACGCAGTGAGACCGTATCTCTACAAAAAGAAAAAGGAGGTAACTCAATGTCACCTAAGTATGACAGTCTTTGCCAGAGTGGCTTTTGAGGATCCATTAAAGCATCAGTTTAAAATACCAAAATTATAATTTCAGTCCTTAGTTTAAATCATGTTCTCATCCCCTTACCAAGCTGAAGGCAGTGTGAAGAGCAGCTTATTGAATATGGTGTAATAGCACAACCCATTATTTTAGTATCTTAGTTAAAACCCACCAAAACTCCACTAATCATTAAGATCTAACTCAAAATCAACTTATGAATACTATTTTGAAATGTTTAATTTTAAAAAATTACTAAGAACCCAGAGAAAAATATGCTGTTCTGCTTGTAGAAGAAAAAACATCCACTTAATTAAAATGCCTTACTTGAGTTCTAGCCTTCATTGGATTTCCAAGGTCACATACCACCTGGCGGGTTTGGTTTTCTGTCTTAAATGCACAGGAAAGTCTTGCCAAGGCCTTTGATAGACAAAAAAAAAAAAAGGATATGAAAGAAATAAAATATCACGCGGTTGGATATTTCAGTTTCTTTTTCTACAGGACAAATAAATCTGTTTGAGTAAAGCTGAAATAAAGGAGAAGTCACAATTGAGTACCATTGCCACGTGGAAATGTAAAAGTGTTTCTGAAAGACCCCTGGGGAACTCAGATACATCACCATATTGCCTCAGGCGGATAATGTGATGGACAGGCTAAGACACTTTATCATTCTGACCTCAGTTCCAGGCATTTAACTGGCAATTCTAAAAATGTACTATCAATGCAACATGCAAACTATCAGGCTGGAGGGGAATTATATCAGATAGGCACTCTATTGTCTAGCAATTTAGACTTAGATAGAATGGCTAAGCCTGTGCCTCACTCAACTTGGGACCAGCTCCTTAATGCTCATAAGACTGTGAGTGCATTTCAATTTTTAGAGGCAGCTTGCTTACCTCACTGTTTCGGACAACTCCGATGAAATCTGCCTGCGGTGGGATGGACACAATGAGCTCGGCTTCATAGGCGCCTTCTCCTTGATTCTGGGCCTTTACAATCAATGTCAGAGGGTTGTCATCCCCAATATAGATCTTCTTTTGATCACTACAAGTAAGCACAAATCCAGACTGAGAAAAAAAACTACATGGGGAGCAGATGACTGTTCAGAGAAACAAAAGATAAATGCACAGACAGCACCGATGTATTCAGCAGTGTCTCAGAATATTTTAAGAGTACTTCACAGCTCAATAGAAAATGGAAAATAGCACACTGAGTACAAATTTGATGCTTCTCTCAGTAAAAGAAAACACTGATGTCACTAATATATCATTATTACTCATAATACTGAAGTAATTTTATGTACTTAATTCTCTAATTTTTCCTAAAAGCTGAACTAATCATCTGTCATGTTTCTCACAATATAATTTATAACCTTATAAAATGGTAAGACTATCCCTTGAGTTAAAAGTATATCTAAGTCAGGTTCAATGGCTCAACCTGTAATCCCGCGCCCTGGGAGGCTGAGGTGAGTGGATTGCCTGAGCCCACGGGTTCAAGACCCGCCTGGGCAGGCGAGACCTCATCTCTACAATAAATCAAAAAATTAGCCGGGCATGATAGCGTGTGCCTGTAATTCTGGCTACTTGGAAGGCTGAGGCGGAAGCATCGCTGGAGCCCAGCAAGTCGAGGCTGCGGTAGCCGGGAGCAGCCACTGCACTCCAGTCTGGGCGACAGAGTGAGACTCCAACTCAAAAAAAAAAGTATATCTATAATGAAATGTACTTTATTTTATTTTATTTTTTTGAGTTGGAGTCTCACTCCGTCGCCCAGGCTAGGCTGGAGTGCAGTGGCACGCTCACAGCTACCCCAGCATCGACCGGCTGGGCTCCCGCAATCCTTCTGCCTCAGCCTTTCAAGTAGCCAGAACTACAGGTACATGCTACCACACCCGGCTAATTTTTTATTTATTGTAGAGACGAGGTCCTGCCAAGTTACCCGGGCTGGTCTTGAACCTGCAGGCTCAGGCACTAGCCTTGGCCTCCCAAAGTGCTGGGATTACAGGCTGAGCCACCAAGCCCTGCCTGAAGTGTACTTCACAGTTATATAATATTACTTTATGACACCACCCAAAGTTGTAGACAGAACGGCAATCTGTTAACCAAGGAAACTAGTGAAAATACAGTGAATATTTTTTGAAGTTCAATATTGATAGTCTTATTATGATTAAATATCATGCATTATCCTTCAATATAACTAATTCTCATTAAGATATACTAGTACTCTGAATAGAAAAATGTGCTCTTCCATTTAAATTTCTTATTATACTGCTTATTGTTTCGAGCAAACTTACCTATCTACAGAAACTTCCAGTTTGGGTTTACAGACATTGTCTTCCCCACAGTCAAGTAGAATATGAGCCTAGAAAAAATGACAATACAGGTTGCATAAGCAGCATATGTCAATACATACATGGTTACACATATATGTATACATGTGTAAATTTATGTATATTCATCAGCTTGTTTTATACCTAAATGCAAAAGAGATCATGGCCTTTTAGTTTGAAACAGGTCAGTGCAGCCAGTCAAGAATGAGAAAGAAGAAAACCATTCACAGGATATAATGCAATTACTTGGAACCTTTCGGTTCTATCTCAAATTACGCTGTTATCATTTTAGAGTGAAGACTGATGTGGAAGAGAAAGCAATCATCAAGAAATGAGTGTCCATTCTGACTCTGCTGCTAGCTAAGTTGTAAGCTCTTGGGCAAAATAAACTCACTTGTAGAATTTTTCATCTGAACTGTGCTTCTGCCAATATCATGGAAACTGGGTTCTGGAGAATGAAAGAATACGAAGCTGTAGAGATAGGGCAGCAATTCAGACAGATAGATCGAAGGGGAAAAATTGGACAAAATGAGTCCAGTGTGCATGATCATTTGGAAAGAGATGAAAGAAAAGGAACTAGAAACATTACTGTCAGCCTATCAGAGCTAGTGAAATAAGCAAAAGCCTGAACTTCTTTCCTTCTGGAGCTGGCCAGGAGAATGCTCTAGTGAGAGCAGTATGAAAAACTCCAAAAGAGAGAAATAGTGGGAGAAAACAGAGGAGCTCGGGCAGGGTGTGAAAGAAGAAATGCAACAATTAAGAAAAGAAGAAGGGAAAAGAGAGATGAAGCCATTTTGCTTTGTCTATTGTTAACATCCACAGGGCTTCAGGCCCACAGGCAGACAAAAACAAGAGAGAATGGATTTAAAAGAAGAAAAATGAACAGCAGAATCCTTTAAGAAAAAGATGATGACTGTGTACTTCCAAGTTACATAATCCAGAATAAAATTAGATGGTAGGAATTTCAACTGCCAGTTTAACTGAGAGGAAACCCAAAAATATATGTGAACTAATTCAATTACCTAGATATAAGCAGTTGCTATAAGCCTCAAAACAAAACAAAATGAATGATAAGGAAGATTAAAAGAATTTTATGGAGATTCTTTACATCATGCCACATATAAGTCACTGCTCAATTAAATCAGGAATAAAGAGTGGATTTTTACCTCATTAACAAGGGTATCAGCATAATAAGCATTTGTATACCTGGCCCTGAATTGTACCCCATATATTTAAAATACAAAATAGAAAAAGAATGGATTTTTAATTTAAAAAACTAGTGATAAGGTCCGTATAACAGTCTGGAATGAGTAATATGTATAAAATATTAGTAGAACTGTGATAAAGGGATATTTGGCTAAGTGTCTCTCTACAAGGAAGAAAAATAACTTAGCTGGCATTGGAGCAACTACAATATTAAAATATGCTACCAGAAAACACAGTTTCAGAAATGAAAAAGCACAAAGCAATGTCTTCCATGCCCAGAGAACCAAATCTCTACAGTTATATACTTCATCTCTCGCACAGAGTATCAGTAAAAATTTAATATGCACGTACATTGAAAATGGAAGGAAATAAAATACTGTCTCCGCGGAAAGCACTAAATCTCTATCACCAAAGAATTAAGGTGCAGAAAGGGAAACTAGAACTGCACCGTCCAATATTGCAGGCCACTTGCAAGCCATGTGTGGCTTTTGAGCATTTGAAATGGGCCTAGTGTTCCCGAGGAACTGATTTTTAAATTTTAGGCGATTTAACTGAAGTTACTGATGAACTTATGTTACTGACAAACTTACTGTGTGCAGATCTTGAGTATGTGAATCAACTTCTTCAACTGTGAATTATATGAATTCTAAATACAAAAAAATCCTAATGAAACTAGTATTTTAATTTAGATATGCTGTGTGTAACACACTGGATTTCATTTGTTTATTTGCTTGTTTGTTTGTTTGTTTGTTTTCTGAGTCAGGATCTCATTCAGGATCTCACGGCTGGAATGCAGTGGCACAATCACAGCTCATAGAAGCCTTGGCAGCCTCTACCTCCTGGGTTCAGGCAATCCTCACACCTCAGTCTCCTGAATAGTTGTTAGACTATAGGCATATGCTACCTCACACAGCAATTTTTAAATTTTTTGTGGAGACAAGGTCTCGCTATGTTGCCCAGGCTTGTCTTGAACTTCTGGATTCAAGCAATCCTCCTGATTCAGCCTCCCAAAGTGCTGGGATTACCAGGTGTGAGTCACTGCCCCGGCCACACTCTGAATTTTATAGACATTAAAAACATAGAATTCAAAATATTTCACTGATAATGCCTAAATTGATTACAAGCAGAAGTAAAAATATTTTAGATATTGCTATAGGCTGAAGTGTAGCCCCTCCCAGCCCAAATTCAAACGCTGAATTCCCAGTATCTCAGAATGTGACTGTATTTGGAGATAGGGTCTTTAAAGAGATCATTAAGTTAAAGTGATTTTTTTTTAAAAGGGTGGGCCCTAATCCAGTGACTGGAACTTCAAAATAAGAGAAGGTTAGGATACAGATGTACATGAAGGGAAGACCATGTGAACACACAGGAAGGTGACCATCTACAAGTCAAAGAGAGAGGCCTCAGAAGAAACCATCCCTGATGACACCGTGATCTCAGACTTGTAGCTTCTGGAATTGTGAGAAAATAATTTTCTGTTGTTTAAATCACCCAGTTGGTGATACTTCGTTATGGCAGCTCTAGCAATACAGATATATTATCACAATTAATTTCACCTGTATTTTTCCACCTTTTTAAAAATGCTAACTGGCAAATTAAAAATTACAAAAGTGGTTCACTATATTTCCATTGAACAGCTGAGAGTACAATAGAAGAGTTTGTAACATAGCAAATGAAATGAAGGACCCATTTTAGAAAGCACAGTTGATCCTCAAATAACACAGTTTTGAATGGCACAGGTCCACTTATATGTGGACCTTTCTCAACCAAAGGTGGATCAAAAATGGGGTGTGAAGCCCGCCTATACAGAGGGCCAACTTCAGGACTTGAGTATGGCTGATCTGATTATACAAAGGAGGTCCTGGAACCGATCTCCTGTGTATACCAAGGGGCGACTGTAAATAATAAAAATGGTGGGTAGGTAATTAACAAAAAAACAAGACTAAATAATAAAGCTAAGAATATAGAAGAAAAGATGCCTAAAGGTAAATAATAGCACTGTTGAAATTAATTTGGACACAAAGGAGACAAAAAAAAAAAGGATTCAAATAATGAAGATGAGAATCAGAGGGCAAAAAAAGAAAGCCAAATATTAGTGAGATTATTTCCTTCCAAGGGGTTTCAATAGTTCACCTACTTGATTAGCTGGCTTTAAAATGGTATTGGCATTAAAGAGATTGGTAAGTTCCGTAAGTAATGGTAACAATAATAATTTTTAAATTCCCCAAAGTTCTAAAACTATAAAGAGAAAATTATCATTGCACATATATCAAAGCACATAATATAAAGGAACAAGTGACAATTAACTTTTAAAGAAAGTATGATATTGAAGATAAACCCTAGGAGGCTCAGATGTTCATTATTAAGTTATTAATCAGCATAATAGTGTGCATCCACCAAAAATTTTTAAAAAGAATATAAACTAACACTAAACTATGGTTGCAAGTTCTACATTAATAAACAATAAAATGGCACATATACTATGACTATTAATGTGAAAAATGAAATATAAAATTAAATTGTTGAAATATAAAAATCACATACACATTAAAAAATTTAATTTGCTTTATGTTGCCGCCATAAATGTCTTCTCAAATTCAAAAAATAAAAATAAAAAAGAACTTATGGGATCATAGAAAAGAAGACAAAGAAGAAATGGCAACCAGAATTTAGAGCAAAGAGTACTATGAAAGAAGAAATATTAATTTAAAAATATAAACATGTAATAAAAAAAGGAGAAATAGGAAATACAGTAAGAATATTTAAATGCATGGGCTTTACATAGGATTTTCTAAAATCAAATTACAGTTTTTATGAAATTTTATGTTGCTTTGATTTTATGAAAAGAATGATGTACTATGGATACATATATGTGTGTATATATACATTTTTTCCATTGAAATGCATATCAAAAGTAACATAGATATCAAAGATATTTAGCAGCCAGGCTCGGTGGCTCAGCCTGTAATCCTGCCCCTTGGGAGGCCAAGGTGAGTGGACTGCCTGAGCCCGCGGGCTTGAGATCCGCCTGGCAACTTGGTGAGACCTCATCTCTACAATAAATCAAAAAATTAGCCAGGTGTGGTAGCGCGTGCCTGTAGTTCCAGCTACTTGGAGAGCTGAGGCGGAAGGATCGCTGGAGCCCAGCAGGTCGAGGCTGCGGTGGCCGGGAGCGGCCGCTGCACTCCAGTCAGGGCGACAGAGTGAGACTCCAACTCAAAAAAATAAAAATAAAAATAAAAATAAAAATAATATTTAGCAAAATACTAAAAAAATACTACGTAAATAAACTGGCCCTTTGTTGTTTTCCTTCAATTATTTTATATGTATATGACATGTGACCGTTTCTTTTTCTACAGATCACTAGGTTCTGAGATGCTTTAAATATCACTGATCTGAAAATTCAGATTCTTACACCTCTGACTTTGATTAAACATAAACCAAGATTATAAATATTTTAAAAATGTGAATTGTAAGATTTTAAAAAAATATCAAAATATAAAATCGTGATAAGTTGAGAAAGAACAATACCTGTCGACTAATGTTGGCAGGAGTGAACTGGTTAAGAATGGGTTTCAAGCCTGTTGTATCTGCAGCTGTTCTATAATCCAACCAATACTCCATAAAAATAGTAATTGGAGTGAGTTTGTCTCTAAATTCAGATTCATCCTAGAAATGGAAAAGCTTTAAATTAATGATGCTTAAGTACACATCTAAAACCAACTGTAATCATCCCTTGCTCCTTCAATTCTAATCAAAATTCTCCAGATAATACTTATGGAGGAACAGAATATCCAAAAAGAAGATTATCATTATCAAGTGAGAAATCTAAATCAATTTTTGTATTATAATATTTGATTCACATAAAAATAAATGAGACAAGTTAATAAAATGAGCACCCAAACACACCCCAGCATAACAACAAGAACATTCCTGATACTGCTTTAGCTACTCAAACATATCTTTCTCTTTTCTTCCCTTTGCCTGCCTTCTCAGAGGTAAATACTACCCTAAATTTTAAGTCTGCCATTCCCGTGTTTGCTTTCAATAGTTTTACTATATCTCATATATCTATAAATAATATGTTTCTCAGTTTTGCTTTTTCCTTTTTTGCTTAATAATGGAATGACGTGTTTAATTTATAACCTATTCTCCCATTGAATGTTATTTGGATGTTGGGGGCTGTTTTAGTTTTTGCTAATGCAAAATTGTTATTTGATTATTCTTATCACATAGTGACAGGTATATCTGTCAGCTCTGTTAATACCATATTATTTTCCAATGTCTTCATAACAATTCACACTGCCATCAGCAACATACAAGAGTTTCTGTCAATTTACACCTTGACCAATTAATAGGTATTGGTATATTGCTTCAACATAAGATTGCATTTCTTCATAGCATAACTTGAGATACTTGTCTTGCTTGTTTCTTAAATTTTGAAGTTATTTAATTTAATCAAAAGCCTTTTTTGCACTCAAGACAGTCTCATGTTTCTTCTTCAGTCTATTCATGTGGTAAATTACATTTCTAGACTTTTAATGTTAACCTATCCTAGGATAAATCCAACTTGATCTATTTATCTTTTCCAATAAACTGCTAGGATTAAGATGGCTTATAATAGCTTAGTAATCTTACAACTGTTATAAGACTAGAATGAAATTCTTCCTTCTGGTGCTTTCCTTGAATAGTCCAGGTATCCACTACTTTCACAGAATAATATTAAAATATTTTGTTTTTCTATTCTTTCAGAGCGCTTAAGATTTGGATATCTTATTTTTGAATACTTAATAAATATTGCTTATAAAATCACCCGGACCTTGTGTTTCATTTGTGTAAGATTAACTACCAATTCCATTTTTTAAGCGATTAAAGGATTATTCTGGTCTTCCATTTCATCTTATGGCAGTTATGTTTTGTTTTTCTAAGAATTTCCCTGTTTTGTCTAAGTTTTCCTATGTATTAGCACAAGGTTATTCATCATATTTTATTATTTTAAACCTTCCCTTATCTGTAGTTATGTCCCTTTTTAACTCCTAATTTTGTGGGATATTCTTTTCTTCATTTCTTATCTTTATTTAAATTAAACAGCATCTAAGGCTACATATTTACCTTTATATTCTGCTTCTGTGACACCCTACGCATCTTGGTATGTCATATCTTCATTATGACTCAGTTATAAGTTAATTTCCTTCACAATCTCATTTTTGATTCACAAGTTTATTAAAAGCACATTTCCAAATTTATCTTTTTGATTTCTAACAGCTGCATGGTAATCAGATAGCACATTTTCTATGATACCACTTTTTTGAAATCTATTTAGACTTCCTTTATGGCCAATGCATGGTCAATTTTTCTGCTCTCTAATTATTGGGTGCCAGGTTCTATAAAGGTCTGTTAAGTCAAACTTGTCAATTACATTGTGTTTCTCTAAATCTTAAATGATACTTTTGTCTTATTTGGAAAATTTCATCCTTTATTTCTTGAAACATCTTAATAAGTTTATGCTCTGTAACTGATAATTTCAGTATCTTTGAACATTGAAATTAGATATGCCTTTGTAGATCTAAAATCTGTTGTTTCTTTTAGTGGCTTGTCTCCTTGTGTGTTCAGTGCTTTTTTTTCTAATTAACTCGGTTTTGATGGAATTTAATCTGTGGAAGTCATGGGACCCATACTGATTGCTCTCCTCCAAAGAGACTTTGCATTTCCTCTGGCTAGAACAGGGTGTACCTCTGTCCTGCAAACACTTCAGCCTCATGCAAGTGTCTAGCTAGGACTAATGCAGGAGTCTCAGGCTGAGACCCTTGGCTTTCAGAAGGCCCCAGATGAGTTTGAATACCTGTGCTGGTGTCTAAAATTACTATCACCCTCTCTCCAAGCTCCACCTCTTGCCAGCAACCCCGGTTCATTCATTTGCTTACAACTCACAATATAGATATGGCCACTGCTTTTCTTTTAGTTGACTGCTTATTGGGACTCAGGAGATTTTTTTTTTTATACTATCTCAAGAGTCCAGCAGTATTTAAGAAGTATGTTTATCATAATTCACTCAGTAGTTTTATTGTAGAAAGGTCATTTGGAACATCCAATATGCCAGGTGTAGAAGTCCATTACTCAGGTTTGAAACTATAAAGAGCTAAAATTCCTCAAATTTGTTTTCTTATGCTTTGCCTTTTGACTTAATACCAATTTACAGAAACTGAAAGTTACTTACATGAAAAAAAATGACTGCAAAAAAAATTATGGAGTGGAAAATATCTCTTACCCGCAGATAGGCTATCAGTTCCTCACACTGCATCTGTCCCCCTCTTGAAATTGTCATGTTCTTGGAGTGACCTGGGGACCTGTTGTGGAGAAACAGTGCTCGTCGAATTGCTCCCTTTTGCTTGAGTTTATCCAAAAGAAGCTCCACCTGGAAGTCTATATAAACCAAAGGATTTATAACCAACATATTCTTCATGAACGCCTATCTGTCCTAGATATCTAGGGTTTTCACGTAAACAGAGATATTTATTTCTTAGGAAGTAATTTGCCTCTAATTTATTAACAATGCCTTTTTTATTGATTACTAAAGGATGAAGTTTTTTATTAGAGATATGTGGAGTACAAGTAATGATTAGCTACACGAGTAAGCTACATGCAGGTGAAGTTTGGATCAGCAACTGGCCCTCACTTCCCCTGGTTGAGGACCAGGTACCTTTTGTGATGCTACCCTGCCCCCTCCTTCCATCTCCTGGCAGTATCCAATGACTGCCAATCCCTCCCTTATTAACAATGTCTTTACACTATAGTGAGACAACATATTCATTTTGACTAAATGTTTAATATTAATTAAATAATTAACCAGACTTTCACTCAAAGTAAGTCATATTATATTATTCCAAAGAATGATAGTAGTAAACCAATTATCAGAGAAAGAAAAAATTTTGTCTTTTAATTCAAACTAAGAGGAAGAAGTCCAGAGAATGAAAACATGAATTAATATTTCCTCCATTAATCCAAGTGGCAAGACTCTTGCTGATTTTGATTAATAAGTATTTAATTAATAACTATGTACCCCTACCATTATATTGAACGCTTTAATGAGAAAGCATGACTTCAACTCCTGCCTCCAATGAGGCCTCCATTATCAAATTTTCATATAAATATGCCCCTCAGAAAGCAAGTGCTCAAATAGAGTGAAATAGGCCAAGAGTCATCTTGAAGGGGACATGTAGCCAACAGTCTGAAGCACAGTTGTTAGGATGATTGCCTTCTAAGATTCAATTCTTTAGTTTCTTAAAACAGTACACAATCTTTAAAATCACAAGTCTGTTTCCAAGTCTCTCCAAATGACGGTCTTCATTTCAAAAGTAGGTAAAAGTTCAGGGTTATTTTGTGTCATGTTCCATTCTACTCAGTCATATTGCCCTCCTTGCTGCTTCTCAAACACGAGAACACTCCGCTTCAGGATTCTCAAAACTGCTATTTCCTCAGAGTGAAACACTCCTCCAGACATCCCCTAGCGCCCTCACTTCCTTCAGGTCTTACTGAAAAGTCATCTCTAGTGGGCCTCTACTTGGTTGCCCTATGTAAACTTTCACACACAAACACACACCCAATAGTTTCAGTCATCTGTTCTGCTTTATTACTACTCCTTGGCACTTGTCACTATCTACCACACTGACAAATCTTGACAATAGTTAGTTAACACTCCAAACTTGCTCTAAGGACCACATCACCCATTTTAGGAAAGAAGTTGTATGATTTGCTGTGTCCATTATATTTGGTGCTCTAACTGTTTCTCCTATTTCTTTTTTCTTTTTCTTTTAATATGGAACACTTCTCCTCACTATTTTTAAATTGCCTCTACTCCTGAGATTGCTGGGTCTTCCCAAGATATAAAATATAAACTTCTCACTAGACCATCTGGGTATTACCCAGATGTCCCTCAGAGTTCACTTATCTCACACTGGTAATGCTTAAACTTTTTTTTTTTTTTTTGAATTGGAGTCTCATTCTGTCACCTAGACTGGCTCCCGGCCACCGAAGCCTTGACCTGTGGGCTCCAGTGATCCTTCTGCCTCAGCCTTCCAAGTAGCTGGAACTACAGGCACGCACTACCACACCTGGTTAATTTTTTATTTATTGTAGAGATGAGGTGTCACCAAGTTGCCCAGGCAGGTCTCGAACCCGCGGGCTCAGACAATTCACTCACCTCGGCCTCCCAAAGTGCTGGGATTACAGGCTGAGCCACCAAGCCCAGCCAATGCTTAAACTTTTAAAGACCATATGTTTACCATTCAGTGGGCCATTTTGCTCACAATGTCCATAAATTAGTGCATTTTTTCTGAATTGACTTAGGAGTTACCAAAGTACTTATGTTGCAATCTTAATCTTTAAGCATAAACATTCAAATAAAAAACAACAGTAGCAATAATTTGAGTCATTATTCAAATATCCTAAAATATATTTAAGCACTGTGTATGCAGCATCATTAAAACATGAGTTTTTATAGCACACTTACTAAGTTTCCTGGGAAGTGCTCCTTTGCCATCTGCCTTTAAGCAGAACCTGACATTAAAACTGCAGAAAAATAAAATAGATATAAATCCTATAATCCAGTTTAGACATATTTTTGATCAGCACCCAAATCTCACATTTCTAATATTTATTTACATTGTGAGAGTTTATATTTTTACCTATGCCTTAATATTATTCCTAAAACATGAAACTATACAGACTAACCTAACTCATCCTTCAGAATTTCAAGCACATTTTTCATGGTACGCTGATGAGAGAAAGAAAAGAACTTCCTAGTTTCATCTCAAGTTTACAGAACCTGTGGATAAATCTAAATGAGGGGAATGACAGTTCATATTTAAAATACCGTTTCATTTAATAAAAGAACCCACCAGAGTTTTCTTTAATTAACAAGTTCCTCTAGAGCGGTGTTTTCCACAATTCATTAACAGATTATGAAGTCAGTTTAATAAGTTGCATCTAGCATCTTAAAAAAAACAAATCAAATAAATAAAACTGACTTAACTATTCACGGTAAGTATGATTTTGTGAAACTCTTGATTTAATTACATCTATGTGTTCACTGGGTTACAATGCAAAATGTGTTTCTTACTACGTGTCACAGTAAAAATCATGAAAACTACTGTTGAATAAGTGCATTGAAGTCTTTGGATGATTAGCATAATTATAAACATATCATTGACAACTTCATAGAGATTTGCAGAGTGAGTGAAGGAAAAAAGGCAGTAAAACATAAAGCCAAAATCTTGAAAACAATTTCATTTCCCACCAATAAAAATGAAGAACAAATATCACTGAATTTTTAATGTAATCCAATAAAAAATAAAAATTTCAGAATTTTAATAGCTATAGTTATAATTCAAAAACATTAAAAAAAATTCAAAAACCAAAAAAACTCAGGAAAATATATTTGATCTGTACTTTCATTTTATTACTTTTTTAATGTATCAATTAATTGCCATCCTTTTTATTTGTCATTTTTCATTTTAAAAATGTGGAGTACAATTCAGGGTTATGTACACAAATGTTCATTATGCAGGTACCCTTGTTGATGAGGTACACCACCCCTCCCAGCAGTTTCCCACTACTGCCAACCCCACCCCCCATCCCCCTCCACTCCTCTGGCAGTTTTCCACTACTACCAATCCCTCTCTTACAGTATTATGATAATTGTTCAAGGTCTGCTTATGAGTGAGGATTAGTACTTTTAAAATAAAATTTTCCTATCAATTTTTCTCTTCTTCATGTGTAAGTTTTCTGCAATTTTTCTGTGTAAGAAACATGAGCAGTATTTCCCAAAGTGGTTTACTCATGGTGATTTTAATAGTATATGGGTCAATATTTTTAATTTTATATTTATTTTGACACATATGAGAAATAAACTAGTTACTACATTTTATTTTTAAATACTTTGAGGTAAAGTATGAAACAACTTAAAGAAAATCTAGAATGAAAATAGAGCAAAAATTATGAAAGCAACATACAAATGAAAGAAAAGAGGAAAAATGAACTATAAGAATACAGACATTGAACGCATTAAAAAAAAAATATATATATATATGAAACTGGTAAAGGAATAAGTAAAAGACCAATATATGAGAGCAAAATAATTTTTACAGTTATTCACAGATATTAAATCTGAAAAAGAATACATCTTTCAAAAAATTAAATGTTCACAAGTCTGTTTAGAATGAAATATTAATTAATTCTGAGATAATATTAGCTCTTTCTTCTTTTTGAAAATATTTTTTTTTTGGAAAATATTTATTATTTTTTAAAATAATCACTGACCATGCAGCTTTTTTATGTTTGCTTTAATTTTTTAGAGATGGGGTCTGGCTTTGTCACCCAGGATACAAGGAGTGCAGTGGTGCAGTCATAGCTCACTGCAGCCTCCAATTCCTGGGCTCAAGCAACTCTCTGACCTCAGCCTCCCAAATAACTTAAATAAAGGTTCATGTCACCAAGTCTAGATAAATTGTATATTTTCTGTAGAGATAGGGTCTCATTATGTTGCCTAGGCTGGTCTCAAACTCCTGGCCTCAAGCAATTCTCTCATTTCGGCTTCCTACAGTACCGGGATTATTAGTGTGAGCCACCATGCCTGGCATCCATGTATAACTCTTTAACAATAATTTTATACCAGTTTATGGAGTATTTCTGGAGCCTTCCACATATCTTCTTTGGAGTACTATTTCTATAATCCAATTTATAAATAAAAGTAGAATGTACCTACAGAGACTGTTTTAGCAATATTTCAACCCTGCCATCTTCATTTTCAATGTTCTTACAATGATTGAATCAATAATCACAATAATAACTGATACTGAAGAAATACCCTTACCAGGAAACTTTGAGAGATGTCCCAGGCAGTGGGCAGGTTTTATTGTCTTGATTTAAAATGCTAGGGTATACTTCAAGGCCAGCATTTACAGTGATAACTGGTCGGGCCCTAGTTTAAAAAAAAGAAAAAAGTTATTGAAAAAGTTTGATTGATCTAAGCATTTTAGGTTCACCTTCACTGCATATACAATGCAATGTCTACTAAAACACTGTTTGTAACAGAAAAAAGAACAACCTAAATGTAAATGACCAGTTACCTTAGTTTGCTCAGAACTGTCCTAACTGTCCTAACACACCAAAACTCCTGCATCCTGGAAAATTGCTCAGTTCCAAGAAAACTGGAACAGTTAACCAGCCTATCTGAATTCAGTCCACTAAAGCAGGACGGTTTAATAAGTGGTGGGATATCTTCCTAGTGCAGTGCACTACCATGGGGAAATGAGTGCTGTCAAGTCCATCTGTGCTGATGTGGGGAGATCTCTAAGACATACCTAAGATATGATTTTAATAGGACAGGAAAAAGTCCCACAATGTACAAACAGTGTCTACAGACAGACACACACAATTTTTTATAATGCATAGACTATTTCTGGTAGAAAATATTAATAAGTTAGTAACTGGTATAAGAGAAAACATGTATTTCATTGCATTTCCTTTCTGTATTGTTTAAATTTTGACCACATGCATGTATTACTTTATTAACAGCAATTCAAAATACTAAAACGACAAATTAAATAATGCAGTTTTCCAAAGTTCAGATTCACAAGTTTAAATCCTATATAAAAATATGAGAGGCTCAGATCTCAAAAATGATAAGTCCCTGAAATCTGTGAGTACACATGTGGCTCCTACAGCTATAATTAAGTTGACCCATCACAAACTTCATTACACAACACCAATGTTAGTTTTCCTGCCATGTGTAAACTCAGACCACAGAAGTGTAAACATCTTCATCTACTTGGGATGCCAGCTGATATTCTAAGGCATCCCAAGGGATCTTCATTCTGAGGAATTGGTGAAATACAGAGAATAACTGGAAATATGTATGAGGCTAGGAAATAAAGACATATGAATTCATACATATTTTTCTAATAACAATATTCATTTTGGGATTCATTACATACTGCCCTTGTAGTCACAGAATACTGAGGCACAAGCATCAGGTCAATTTCCTGCCTCTTACAGAAAAATGAAAACCTATATAATTTTTAAAGAGAGATTGAAAAACCAGGGAAATACCTTTGAACATAATTTAAAAGACAAAGAGGGAAAATTCTGAATGTCTTTCTGAATAAAGAAGTCTACAGCTTTCTCTTAGGTACCTCCTTATATAAATAATATTTATATAGTTAAACAGAAGGAATAACTTCTAGGGTTCAATAGTACAGTAGGGTGACAAGCTAACAATAATTATTGCATATTGAAAATAGCAAGGAGAGGATTTTGAATGTTCCCAACACAAAGAAAAAACAAATATTTGAGGTGGTGGATATCCCAATTACCCTGATTTCTATGTTGTATGCATGCATCAAAATGTCTCATGTATTCTAGAAATATGTACAATTATTATGGGTCAATAAAAGAAATTTGCCTGCAGCAAATTTTGAATAGAAAGAACACATTTAGCCGGGCTCAGTGGCTCAGCCTGTAATCCCGCGCCTTGGGAGGCTGAGGTGAGTGGAT